TGTGTTGCATCCGCCAGTCCCACAGGGACATCTGAGGTACCCAAGTGCATCAGAATAATAGTATGTTCTCATGTTTGAAAAACTGAGTCTTATCCTCCTCAATTATTTTAATCTACTATTTTTATATTTTGTTATTTATGGATGCTAACTGCAGTTTAAATGCATCACTGAAAGGAAGTTCTGTCAGAAATTTTGCCTAGCTCCAGTATACCTCTAATATTTCTTCCTAAAGAAGATGAATTTATATGCTGGATGCTGATAATGTGAAAGCTTCCCATTCCCCATTGCTTTTTTTCTGAATTTTTTGCTTCTCTTGGAGATGAATAAGAAATGAAGACAAATTATGTCATATAAGTGTGCAGTAAAAGGTTAGTTCTTACTCCAACAAAAAGTTGGAGGAACTTGTAACAGATACTTTAATTCTCCCTTTCAGTACATGATCTAACATGCCATTTAGTGAAGAGAAAATCGTGGGACTCAGACACCAGACACTTTCAAAGCTGTTTTAAGTTCTCATCCAAAGGCCATTTACTCAGTAACAAAAATCTCCTGCTGATTTCTGTGAATTTTACATCAGACTTGTACAGCCTTAAGTCTGGTGACTTTCTGTGATTATTACTTGGGAAGATACTGATACTTGAGTAATCTTCTTGTCAGAGCTGTAGCTGTAGTAGTGACCTGTAAAAATACACATCTGGGTGCAGAACAGAGAAATACACATATTATCTGAGTTGCCTCTGTTTTAAACAGGAAGGTAACCACTTTGTAACTGTTACTGAAATATGTTTCGACAAATTGTGTTACAGAAATGGTCATGCAAAGAGAAAATTGTGTCCAGCAGGGATATAGCTGTGAGATTAGCATCCTCTGCAGCCAGAGGAGGATGTAGAGCAGTGTTTGGAGGGGTACAAGGAAGGCAATTGTTCTGTACCTTACTTGAGTAGCTGCTCTGAAGCCTGAGATGGAGAAGTTCTCTGTTCTCAGCTGCCTCCTGATCATCATCACTGTGCCATACCCTTGACTAAAGGAAGAAAAGACAGTTCTAATGCTAAGAAATTAGTTCCATCTCAGTGCTTTTTCAGTCCCTGGCCCCAGGCCAGCGTGGTTGTCCTTTACTTTTAGGGGTGTTTTATGTGGTATGGTAGCAGATTGACAGAGAAATGCTGAATTTGTGCAGTATTCTGGGCTTTGTATGCCTAAGTAAGTTTACCCTAAGTCTGTTCTGAGCAGGGATACAATCTTTTTTGTGGGGAAAATGGAATATTTCTGATATGCATTTTTTGTGCCAAGTCTCTACAAGAAAGGACAAAATTCAATTACTTGAATATAAGCACATAGTATCATCTTGATGCCCTACGGTACCTTAGATGTCCCTGTGGGACTGGCAGATGTGACACAGAATATCACAGAGACCTGCATCCTTCTGTAGCTGCAGCAGGAGGCTGAGGCAAGATGCTTCAGGTCATCTAAAATTAGACTAGATGGAATTCTTTCTGTCTGTGTGTGTGATTATATTTTGCCAACTAAAATTTTAAAAGTGTTCCTGCTTCTTATAGAACATGAAAGAGACTACCAAATTACTGTTTCCTGGATATTTTCAACATCTTGCATTGGATGCAAGATTGGATGCATTGGAAAGAGACAGGCTTTTGTCTCTTTGTCCCCCACATACAAAATGAGTAAAATATGTCATTTTACATGATAAAGTTATGCAGAAAAGCCATTTCTGTTTGTAAGTTGTTCAGCACTGTAGTAAACTCATCACAACCCCATCCCCAAAGAATTAATTCCAGAATAACTACTTAAATGGTGACTATTTAATAGTGACTGGTAAATAGACTTGCTCACTGAGAGATCACAGTTCATCCTGTGCACTGAATGCTAAAAAGGGGAAAAGAGTATTGATTTTGATACCAGCTCCTGCAAGTGGTAGAGGTAGCCAAGCCCCTGACAGTTCTGTGAGGCAGCGTGGTGGTTACACAGGGATGCAGAGCAGGGCTGGGGAGTGCCCTGTACCACTCCTGAGCCCAGGAGAAGGTGTTTGGTTATGGGCATTTCCCTGTGGCTCTAGAACAGACAGGAGACAGGATGTGGGAAGCTTGCCCAGGAACAGTTGGGTCAGGATGCTTGATGGGACATGGGGATCTCCACAGCACAGAAACCTAAACTCTGGGCAGAGAGCACACAAGGAGCCTGACTGTGCAGTAGTGGCTGACGCTCAGTTGGGAATGGGGAGTGAGATCTATGTCCAGATTATGCTTTTAAAATAAATACATAAGAAAATAAAATCAAATTATTAAACTGAAAGAGGAGAGGTTTAGCACAGATGTTGGGAAGAAATCCTTCACTGTGAGAGCACTGAGACACTGGACCAGACTTCCCAGAGAAGCTGTGGATGCCCCAGCCCTGGAAGTGTTCAAGGCCAGGTGGATGGGGCTCTGAGCAACCTGGGATAGTGGAAGGTGACCCTGCCCATGTCAGGGGTTGGAACAAGATGATCCTTGAGGCCCCTTCCAAACCATTCTATGTTTCTCTGTTTCTGTGAAATTATTTAGAGAGAAACAGAGAGTGAAGCCTGTCACAGTTGCATATTTCCTTACTCAGTCTTTTTGATCCTGTTATCCATCTCACACTGGGATATTCAATTGGCCACACTAGATCTTTCAGAAAATGGCTGCCCATATCCAGGGCACTGCAGCACTTCTTCCCACCTCTGTTGCATAACCCCATTAACAATTCTATTTTCCCTTTAAAATTTATCTATGTTCCTATTGTTAACCTGGTCTGTGTTGAGTGTCTTCACATTTTATCAAAATCTTCCTAATTGCTGAGAATATTAAATGTAACTGGTGCTTAAATAGATTATTGAGTTTGATATGGATAGTTCAGCTGTCAGCAGTGCCTGTTGACTTTTCCCCATGCCACTTTCTGTTCCATCTTTTGATGGCTACAGTAAGTTCCATTTTCTGCACTTTAGCTGATGATTTTCTGACATGGCAATGTTTTCTTAAATGTATTTCAGTGCACCTTAACCTTGTCTCACTCTCAGCTGATAAATCCATGTCATGATTTATCTCCCTCCCTTCCACCCAATCTTCTGTCTCAGCAGTTTTGCACTTTATTGCATCAACCTTTGAATGAGTCTGTGGTTGTCAAACTTGCTCTACTGTTTAACTGTCTTTTGTAAATACATCAAAGCCAGGTTTTTCATGCTCCAGCCTAAGCAAATATCCATAATGTGACAGTTTAAAATGAAAATGTTACCATCTTGACATGTTATTAGTACCAATTCTGAGTGGGTGATGAAATCAGGTCCCCTGTAATTAAAACATTTCATGCTCTTTTAAGTTTTTTCCTGAAATAAAATGGAATGTAGTAGTTTTCATTTCTCCCAGCAGTGCCTGTGTGCTTCTCCTTACTGATGACAATTGAGGTAAATCACCTACACTGTCTTTTGCCTTTAGCTTATTACTGCTTCTGAGCACTGTCCCGATATATGTCCTGTTCTACTCCTTCTTAAAGAGATTATGAAACCCTCCTTTTCCCTGCTTCTCTTAGTTCTCTTGATAGGGCCATGTTCAGCCTGATTTCCAGCAATTTTAATGAGTCCTTTAGGCTTATATTAGTCCTACAATTTCTTTTCTGAAGTGGGAGGAAAGAGCTAAGATTGTATAATGTAAATTAAGAGAAAAGCAAGCAGAACACACACTCCACAATAGAATAGACATGAAATCTTTAGAAATTGATGGAGAAGTTTCCATTGGCTTCAGTGACTTACACATCAATTAATGCCAAAAAGGCAGATGGGAGCATATTTATTAGTATTTACCTTAAGATTTTAGAAGTTAACATGATAAAAAGTAAAACAGAAATCTTTAATAGAGGAAATAAAGGAAACTTGGTGTCCTATGTAGCAAAAATAAAGGGCTTTCCATTACAGTAGCAAGGTTTGCCATTTACTGTGAAGGATAAGTTCATAGTCTTGTTCATAACTTTTTCAAAATAACACTTTCAAGAAGACTTATTTGAGGTAAATGTGACCAATTTATAAACCATACACTATGAGACACTTTAAAAGGAGTGTAAGCTTATTCCATGGAAGTCTCCATAGGTGGGCAAAATGCTGATAATAGCAGTATACAATGAATACTTTTTTTACCTTTAAGAAATATCCTTGACATTCTGGAAAAAAATCCTACAGAAAATATAATGTGCTGATCAAGAGTAAGATTTTTATCTGGAAGTATTGTCAAAAATTTTAACACACTATAAATTTTTTCTAACTTATCCTTTATAAAGCAGTACCCACTTTGCTTATGTGATTACTGACTGGTTTTAAAGTCTTAACCTTAGTTTTTTGTTTTTTAAAATAAGATCCAGGTTTATTTGTCTATAAACAGTATTAACCATTTTTGTTTTGCCTTCATTACATAATGTTTTCCACTCAAGTGAAAAATAAAAAGAAAAAAGGAATGAAGAAATAGGGTCTTGAAGCCTTCATGGTAATGCAGGCTTTTAGTGTGACTGATTACCTCAAGCTTTTAATTGTTTGAAAAAACACTTTCTCAAGTTGTTTTCACATCCCATGAGAATTTTTTTAAAATACTTCTCTTACCTAAAAGGGCAAGAGAAAATTTTAATTAAGAGATACCCCATCCATTATTTCTGGGAGTTATCTGGTTATTTTGGCTCCATTTCAGGTTTGAGGTGTGGGTTACATTCCATACCATGCAGAACATGGTGCTCTAGGCTTTGCTGAAGTGAAAGAATGTAAAATAAAAACTGCCAGTGGAAAAGTAGTTTGGGGGCTTGGCCCTTGAGTAAGGTGATCTGAGAGGGAAGTTTTCCAAACACTTACTAAGCTTAGGAGGAACATGCCATTCTGGTGGTGGACACAATACTTTGAATGATGAAAAATTAGTATTTCCTACCAAAGCTATTTTTCTTTCAAGTGTCACTATGGGAGAGTACTACTGACTCCTGTCTGCATCCATTTGCAGGAATCTCGGTGGCCTTTCTTGTTTGGAGCAATCATTGTTCCATCATTGATACAAGTCGTGATTCTGCCTTTTCTTCCTGAAAGTCCTCGGTACCTCCTCCTTGAAAAGCATGACAGGAGCAAGGCAGAAAAAGGTATGATATGTTACTTTTTTGCAATAAAGAGTGTTTATTGTAGGGATTCAGGCTGGAGATCCCTGTCTGATACCACACTTGAAGCAGAATATTCTCATAGGAGAGGATTTCTTGGCAATAATTTTTCTTATCTTTTTTGTTTGTCTCTGTATGCATAAATATAGCTGTAGCTTTGAAGTTTTTATAAATTAAATTCTCCAGCAAGGTAACTTATATAACATGACACATGGTCATACAGACCTAACCAAATCATCCTGCTGTTGTGTGCCAGCCACTCTGTGCAGGGTTCATTTGGAAGTGAAAGGTGATTTCAGTCATCGTGACTCCCCCTTATCTTCAGTCTTTGCACTTTGACTAATAAAAACACTGATTCTGCTGCCGCCTTTTTTCCCCAGTAGTCGCTGTGCTTGACCCTGTGTTCTGTAACTCAATAACCTTTGTAGATCTAATAAAACCCCCATACATCTGTTTAACTGAAAAATTGTTGAACCGAAGCTTCGATATTGCTTCAGCTTCACAGACACAGTATATTTTATCCTTACTTCAGGTTCTAGGTATTAAATGATTTTCTTGTGTGATCAGAGTTGCTGCATTCTCCACCCCATTACATTTACTGTGGTCCCAATACAGCTGAGAGAATGTTAAAAATTTGGTTTAGTTTATTATATGAAAAACAGGAGTCTACAAAAAAGGAGCCTAATTATAACACCAAAATATCAAACATAAGTGCTTTACAAATTATTCTTAAAAACTTTGTTTGAATATGACCCTTAACTTTTTCAGTCATGAGCTAGTTGCTTGCAAAATTACTTGTAAAGCATGTATCAATGCCTGAAATATAAATGTATTAATCTTTTAACATGAAATTAATGCAATCTCATCCAGTTTCTTCTATTTGGAAACAAAAAATTGGCATTTTTTTGTTCTGAAGAGCCCTCTGAAAAAGAAATAGCACACTAATGAAGAGACTCCCATGTTGTCCCAATTTGGTGTTGAATGAAGAATTCATTAAATTATAAATTGGAGCTTTATATATCATATAAAATTATATATTATAATATATATATTCTATATAGATGTAATACATTATAGATAATAATGAATTATTATTATATTATATTATATTATATTATATTATATTACATTACATTACATTACATTACATCACATCACATCACATCACATCACATCATATAATATCATATATTACATATTACATATTATGTATTATATATTATATTATATTATATTATATTATATTATATTATATTATATTATATTATATTATATTATATTATATTATATTATATTATAATTTGGAGCTTCAGACACTTAGAAATATGGTTCAATGCTTTAAAAAAAAAAGAGCACAAAAGCAACAAGATTTTGGGGAGAGTTCTTTAGCTTCACAGAATCAGCAGAGTTTTGAGGAGGCAGAGAACAGCTTTTCCAAGCACCACGAAGCGAGGGCTGCCCTGCCAGCTGTGCTCAGAGCACCCAGCAGGGGTGCTGGTCCCAGCTCAGGATGGCTGTTGGGTGGAAAGTTCTGCAGAACCATAGCTGGGCAGGGAGGAAATGCCTTTGGGTGCCAAGTTTAAACTGGCTAGTTCCTGCCTGATAAAACTGTAGATTTCCAGAGCTATGGGTGGCAAAGAGTCTGCATGTGCAATGCTATTTTATAATGTCACATTTGCTATGAGGTGCTACTGAAAATCCTGCTGCAGTACCTGGAGATTTCAGCACTGACAGTGAAACTGGACCTCTCATAGGTAGAGTTTAAAACTTATAAAACATGGAAGTAAAATGACACCACCTGCCTTAAAACCCACACCATTTACTGTTGCCTGTAATGTGCCAGCTGCACTCCGGGGTGTTTTCAGCATATATGTTCTGAAAATAATTTGAAATCTAATCCAGAGGCATTGGAGGTAGGTTTTGGAGTAGAACACATCAGGAGAGCAGTAGTCTGGATAAATGAACTTTAGCTGCTGGCTTGCTGATTACAAGAAGATGGCTTTCATGAGCCACCCTGAGGACTATAAATTTATATACTCTGAGAAAAAAGAGACAACTGGTATGAAAAGCTTTTCAAATAACTGCATATGCATATATGCTTTTGGATTTTATTAATTCTAAAAGAAAGATATGTTGTAGTGTAACTCATTTTGAGTGTAGTCTACAGTGGAATTCAAAAAATAGGAGAGTGAATCAACAATCAAGACAAATCATTTGGATATTCACATTATCAGCAGAAATGGGGGAGGAAAAGTCTAGGTATTAAGGAGACTGGAGGAGTTGTGATTTATTAGAATGCCCTTTTGCTTGTAAGTCATATAATGACAAAGCAGAATTCTTCATTTAATGATGACTACAGTAATGCTTTTAAATTATTTGCCTCTTAGCTTAAATCTGCATATTAATATTGGAAATTTGCAACTCTTTCTACTGACTAAATCCCTTTTCTTCCCCTTAATGGATCAAGGCTATTCATGCAAATATATATTTCACTGTGGATTATACCTTGTCAGAGAAATAAAACTATTATTAGCAAAAGGTCTGCTGTGTTTAAAGCAGATGACTACGTTAGTCTTTATGAAATACTCTAAAGTATGCATGTATGTCAAAACTCCTAAAATGGAGCTGAAGCATTAATCTTCCTAATTGTTTTAGAGCAATAATATCCAGTGAGATAATGTAGGTCATTGAGTTTCCACAGAGTTTTGCCCCTGCTTTCATCCCCTCCTTTTCTTCTCTGTCTCAGGAGATAACCAGTCTATAACTACCAAATTAGAAGTGGTGCCTTTTCTGGCAGACATCTTTAAGGGGTAAATAAGAGACTGAGAGAAGGGGAAGGACCAAAACCTGTTGTGTAAATAATGAAAAAATGAAGGAATGGACATAGAGGTTTAGAGTAGAGAGGCATCATGTGCAAGCCTAAACCACATCTCCGTGAGAGAAGCTATTTTTTGGGGCACAGGGGCAGAGGTGCCTCAGATGAGTGAGGTCTCCTGAGCCCCATTAGCAGGGTTTTTCCTGGTGCCCTGCTTTCCCCTCTCCAGCAGAGCAGGCTGTGCACGCTGTGGATGGCTGAGCCGACCTCTGGCCGGTCGGACATACGGACACCACATCTGACTTGCTGCTGTCTGCTGCCAAAAGCAGCACTGACAGAGAGCTTGGCTCTTCTTCCTGGAGCTCACCAGCCTGTGTCCTACTCCCTGAGACACAAAGGAACTGAACTACCTCTCATATTCCTGTCTCACTGCTGAATGTGGGAGAAGTGATCCATATGTTTTGGGGAGAGAACAATCAACTGGAACAACAGCATAATCTGTAAATCTGCTTTGCCCAAGAAACTAAGTCTGGTAATGAAGCAAGGGCAGAACCATCCCAGCTCCTCTCCCAGATCCCATAACTAATATTCTTCTCATTTGATAGGAATAGAAGGGAAGAAATTGCCTAACTGGTGTGATCCTTCTTCAAGATAGCAGAGGAGAAATGGGTATTTTAGTGGTTGAAGAGAAGGACTTTGGAAGGAGATTGTGGAAATGAAGGGATAGAAACAGGTAGAAAAAGAAAAACCTGATGCTCTAATTACATCAGTTTACCATCCAAGTTCTAGGACAGTAAGTGAGGGATTTCACATTAGCTGTCTATTTGCTGCATGCCAAGTGCACCCCTGATCTGTGAGTATCACAATGATGTAACATAAATAAAATCAGCAGCAGTGATAAAATGGAACATTTTTTATGACTAAAAACATTGGTTATAAACACTTGCAGTTGGAGAGTTGAGGTGTCTTTTTTGAAGTGCCCTTTTACAGGGGGGGACCTTTCATTTTCTATGCAGCTAGTGTAGCAACTCATGTAAATCAATAATGGAATTCAGCTGGTATCCCAGCTTGCCAGAGAACAAATATATTGTTATGTCTTAAGGGTCAAACATCTTGGATAAAATGTCACAGCAACATCTGTTGGTGACATACAAAGTATGTTCATCTAGTATGTTCAGTCATACATTAAATGTCCCATGGTTATAAAAGAAGCATTACAATAGGTATAATGAGCAGCTTAGATTTAAATTTTTAGAAAGATGGATTAGGTTTGATACCTTTTCATGTGACAAAAGAGCGAAGCCACTCCTGATTTAAAAAAGCAGGTAGTCAATTTTTTACAAAGCCCTTCAGGAGGCCCACATGGACTGGAGAGATGTTAAACCCAAAGTTCCAACAGGAACAAGTTACTGAAAATCCAGTGATTAAAATAAGTTGTTATGACTGACAACAAGCACGTGTATGATTCAGTTTTGTTTCTCTGTGCATTTTTGTATATCTGTAAGGATTATAAACTATTCTGGAAAGGAAGAGACAGCCATGACTACTACACTTGCTGGCTTACAGTAAAGGTTTCATCTCAGATGTTTGCCTGCGAAAGCTGGAGTGATTGTGGTGTGTCTGATTTGTTTTTAAGCTTTTCTTAAACCTCTTGTCTTTTAGAAAGGATATAAGGTCATTGACCATTAATACAACACTGTTTACCAATTCTTGTGTTATTTTTGGGTGGTGTGTATATGTTTTATTTTACCTGTATATTTTGGCTAGTCTCAGGTGAACCTGAACAGGCCTATTGGTGTGTGTAAAACCACACATACAAACAGGTAAAGATGTAATTCTTAACTAGGTAATAACTCAAAAAAAACCCTGTGTGTTCTTTACTTAGAAGAAGAGGGAGGTGACTTGTGGGAAAAGCCTAATGCCATTTGCCTGCACTTATATTTTCTGATACTTTTTCTTAAATTTTGCAAAGCTGCATTCTAGTAGATGATCAATATTTTTCTAGATCTAAGTAGCATTGTTATATCTCTTCTAGGAAGATACATCTGAATTATTCTTTGGGATAGTCAGTACTCTAATAAAATTAGTTTATATGAAAATAACTTAGTTCTTTTTATAAATTATTTCTGTGTTGACATCGAGTAATTACAGGGAAATTTCTATTGTCTTCAACAGTGGACAAAGAAGATACTGTTTAAGCAGAACTTAGACAAAGATGTGTGAAACAGTGTAACACTGGATTTAATATAACTAATCATCAGGAAAGTAAATGTGTCCATGGGAAACAGATAACAATAATACTTCCACAGCTTATTTTAATTTTTCATCTGTTTCTTTTCAAAGGATAAGCCCAAAAAAACTTTGACCACTTCTCTCTTTTTCTGTATCCTCTTGCCTGGTGCTGGCTTTATACTGTAAACCATTCAGACATTTAATCTTTTAAAATTTCTTCTTAAAGTTCACGTTTTAATTGTTAACATGTTATTGTTGATAACAATACTTTCTTTGCACAGTCCTGGAAGTACTATAGTGGAAAAATATTTAGTAATTCCCCATGTAGCTGGGATGTTGAGTGTCCATCTTCAGTTAATCTAAAGACCTGATTGGTTTTAGACATGGTACCAACTGACTTTTTTTTCAGGTCTTCGAACCTCTTTCAGGTGTTTCACCTTCACTTAGGTGAGATGAATAAAAACAGGTGGTGTAAATGGAAGGGTTTCTTGACTTTCCCATTGAGTGGAACCATCCAGTTCTTTTGCTGTTTATGAAGGCAGTATTACAACTTTTGAAAGCTGAGCTTCTATAACCTTCTGATCCAAGGGAATTAAACAGGAATCTGGAAAGTTTTAAAAGTTTCTAGACTTGCAACTCCTTAGATGGTTTTAAGTGTTACATGAAAATAAGGCTTCCCTACAGAGAGAAGCAGCCACTCACCGAGGGAAATGAGTCATTGCAGCAAGGAGAGGGATGACTGCTGTGCTTCTCAGTGCCAGTAATGCCAGGGTTTAGAATGTAAAACTAATAAATTGAGCATTGCACATTGAAAGACTTTTGAGTTTTCCTATGTCCCTGCTAATGCAGAATTTATTTCCACACTATTTATACGTAAAATTGTGATTCTTATGGTACTGAAAAACTGGTGTAATGGAAGAAAATTAAAGACATTGAGTAGCAGGAAAATGTTTTTCCAAGAAGGTTGGGTGATGTCTATTCAAAACTATGCATGTAGGGCATAGTAATTTCTTAGTATTTCTGGACTTGTTGATAATTTTAAGTATCCACCAAAGTTTCCTAGTGGCATTTACACCTCTTTTCTTATTGCCATGAAGGAAAGAAATTGGCTGTTTATGTTTTTTCTACCTAGTACTTGACAGTTTTGGTAATTGTAGTTTTTTGGTTCCTGGTCCCTCTAGAAATACAGCAAGCTCCCTTGTGCAGGAAAGACAGATTGCTGTCTTTTTACTTGACTGCACCTATATTTTTGACTTGTGTGCCCCAAAGTAATGATGAGGATTCTAAGGACAGGAAAAATAAAGGAAATTGTGCACTGACCTAATTTACACTGATAAAGCAGATGTAATGGAAGACTTTGGTGATATATGCTCATGGAAAATTATGGTGATATATGTCATTTACATTTACATTTCTTATCACTGTCTTTGAATACATCACATTCATTAAAATGAGTCATTATCATGTTATTTATTTAAAAAATGTGCAACAACAAAGGACAAAACTGAGCAGCTTAAAGTTTTAGTTCCAAGGTCTCTCTTTGTTAATTCATTTCTGACTCTACAACCTGTATAAAAAGATAAATCTTGTGCTTTTACATAGAGATTTAAAACTTCTGACCTCTCCTCTCACAAGAGAGAAACTGGTTATCAGAATATATGAATGTTATGAATTGACTCAATACACAGAGGTAGTTCATCCTTTAAAAAAATTATCCTTCTTGTTAACCAGAATCATTAAAATGCATTAGAAGTGCTAAGTGCCTCAGAAGAATGTGGCCCAGAGCTCAAGTTAGTTTCCTGCACCTCCAGACTGGGAGCCAGGCAGAATATGCAGCCTTGTACAGTCACCAAAGCGTCAGAGAGGGATGCTCTGGGGAGGCCAACAGTTCATTTGTGTGACCTATTTCTCACAACAATGAAATGCCACCAATTGGCCTTTTCACCTATTGGGTAAAGATAAAAATTTGTAACCTCAAAATCTAAATAGAGTCTGGATATATTAACCATGACTAGTCAATATCTCTTATTTTCTTGTCCATAAAAGTGCTTTTTATGATCTGAAGGTGTGTAAACATGGTGAAATATGTGGTCATTTGTTTATAGACAGCGTTATGTAAAGCTGTGGATAAGAAAAATTGACTTGGCCTTTAGGTGAAGTAAATGAACTTATTCATTTAATAAAAATAACAATTTAAAGTGACCTGCTGTGTAAAGGATTGTTTTGAGTGTTAGCATCCTACTGGGTCGCAAAGCCTTGTTGCAGGGGTGTGTGTAATGTCACTGTTTCTCTGCAGTCACTCTGACATGATGAGCATTTTAAACATCTCTTAAAATGCCAACCCCTGGGGTATGTTCATTAGATTGAGACAAAAGTATCACCTGCATAGACAGAATCCGTCAAACAAGGTTGGTGGAGACACATCACGTCTGGTCGGAGGTATTTCTATCTTGGAGGAGGTGTCAGGTGGAAAGGCTGTTTTATTCACAGTGGAAGGATATTTCAGTGAGCTATCAGTGTGCAATACTAAATAGTGTCTTTCTGGGGAGATGAGGTTTGTTGGCTGGTTGCTTGCTTACTTGCTTACATTGGCCATGTAAATTTGTTCCCATGACTCCAGAATTGACAAATATTAAGTCTTTAACTGCTCTGGATGATTATTTATAATATTAACCTGACAAAGTGAATTCTTGTCTATATGCTAGTAAAAACAAGAGGTAATATGAAGTAATAGTAGCTATTCCTTTCCAGTATCTGCATTTTCTTGGTTTACCAGACTTATATGAATTTTTACATCTTACTTCTTTCCTAACCAGTCTGTCTCCAGCAATGAAGCCAGCTATACTGTTAGGCTGCAAAAGTAGCCAAGTCAAATAATGTTCAGAGATGCTTTGGTAATAAATATTTTCGAGGGTTTTCACTCTTCACTGGACATTAGACTATATTATAGATAAAATAACGAAAAAAGAGGTCTTGTAGGGAGACAAATAATCTATGGTTTTGTTTCCATTTTTGATCCCAATAGCAGGGGTGAACCAGATCACATCCGGAGCAGAATGATATTGTTGGCAGAAGAATAATTAAGTTGTAGCACATGTATGCCTCCTGTTTATGCCAAACATTTCCATTTTAAAGCAGCAACACAGTTATAAATGCGCACAGTGCCAAGTGTCTGGCCTAAAGTACACATCCTCTCTTTGCAGCATTTCAGAGATTCCTTGGGAAAGATGACGTGTCTCACGAAATAGAAGAAGTTTTGGCAGAGTCTCGAGTGCAAAGGAACACCAAGCTGGTGTCCATTGTGCAGCTGCTGAGAACCCGCGCGGTGCGATGGCAGATCGTCACCGTGGTCGTCACCATGGGCTGCTACCAGCTCTGTGGGCTAAACGCTGTAAGTGTCCTTCCTCAGGCCATGGCATCCCCTGGGGACCTCCTTTTCTTTACAGCAAGGCTTGGGTTACACCATTCACCAACCTCTATGGGCTCTCTCTTTTGGCTGTTTTGTATTACTAATGACTCTGTGAGAGCAGTGTGTGGGAAGATCCACAGATCTGTATTGTTTGGGGGGTTTTAAAACAAAAAAAATCTTTGAGGAAAGTCATGTTGCGTTAATTTTGAGGGAATACATGAAAAGGTAGAAGGGATCAGCAAAGAAAGAGCATGCAGTTTTTACTCAGATTCTCTGTTTCTGGATATGTCCCATGTTTATTCATTTTTTTCAGTAGACATTTTGGCTTGGATTCATTCAGTTCAGTACTTACAAGAAATCATTAGTAATATATAAGTGATTTTAAAAGGTCGCACTGCACATTTGATTTTTTTGTTGCTTCAATATTCCTGTTTTGGAAAGTGAAGTGAAAGAGGGAAAAGACATAAAACTGTGGATCCTTCTGACAATTACTATGTCTGAGGTTAATGGATATGAGAAGTCTCCTTTCCCATCTATCTGAGCCTATATGAGAAGGTCACAGAACCATGTAGGCTGGAAGATCCCTTCACCTGGGTCAAGCCCTTGCTTAGGGCAGGAATGACTTCAGGGCTGTCTCAGGCTCCTGAGGCCCTTGTGGAGTTGAGTTTTAAATATATTCAAAGGTGAAGAGTCCATAACCCTCCTGAGCAACCTCTGCCAGGTGTTTACCACTTACATTGAAAAGTGTTTTCTTTATATCCAGCCAGAACTATCCATGCTGCAGCTTGTACCATCTGGCTTAGATGCTTTATTCTGCACAAAACAAATATTCTCTTAAAGCACCTCAAAGCAAAAGGGGTTTTGTCATAGGTCAAAGGCATTACTTGCTTATAGATAGGATAAGCAATATTCTTGCTGCTGCAAGGAACCCACCCTCCTTGTGCTCTGCAGCAGACTCCAGCTAGATTTTCCCCCCAGGACTAATAATTCCATGTGCTTTTGTATCTATGAACAGTAGCTCAGGTTTATCTCAGATATCTCTATAGCTTTAAGACTCCAAATAAATGTAATTTGTTCAAGACCATTTAAAAGATTAATGCAATTTGAACTCTGATATCTAAAAGCTTTTTAAGAAATACTACGAAGGAATTAGAAGAGTTTTTTCATCCTGTGGGGTAAACTATAATAATATTTATATAGGTAGTATTTTCCTCAAATGGTAGGATTTCAGTGCTAATGGCAGGTTATTTTATGCCTCATTGTGGATACGTTTTTGAGAAAAAAAACACCAGAATTATCTTGTCATCCAGTCTTTTTAAGATTTATCAACACATAAGGGAAGAAATGTCACTTATAGTAATAAACAGACTGTTCAAATAATGGAGCGCATTGCCTAAAAAAAAAGGTCACAGCTAAATTTTCAGGGGAAATGGAAGAGTTTTGTGACTTTGAGGATACTTAATAGTTGATAGAAAAGCCAGTATCATGGCTTAAGTGAGAGTGTGGTTGGACAGTCAGACATGTCCAGCCCAAAATGGATGCCAGAGTTACTTTAAAATGCCATTAGATAGCCACTTTCTGAAAATATGCCTTAGAGAAATAGTCTTTGTCAGGGAACCTGTGTATTGAGTTTGCTATTTCAAGGCTTCCTTTTCTAGTATTACTTTGTTTGTCCTCTCAATCAATGTCACCAAACATGAAAAAAACTTATTCACACAAAAACTGTGTTTTGAAATGGATTATTTAAACAGTTGTTAGTTAACAGTAAAACCAATAAAATTAAAAGAGAGGTCAAGAGAAATAGCTGGACAATTGATTAAGAGACCAGGCTTTGGAAACTTGTCTCTTTTGCTTGTCTTTCCTGGCTGATGCTGCTCGAGTCACCCGAAGCTCCAAGATGAGAGGACACGTCTGGGTGTGACAGATACTGGTGAACCTGGGTCTTAGTTTGCCTGAATACATCTGAACCAACATTCTGGGTGTGAGCCAGCATCAGCCAGGTTTTGCTGGCAGGGAAGGCTCCTTCTAACTCATTTGCTTTGTCTGTGGTGCCCTGTTAGTCAGTCTGGTCTTTTCCACAACTACCATCTGGACAGGGCATATGGGAAAGTTTGGATTCCTTCAGGCGAGAATCTCAGGACGTTCTCCAGGGAAATTGCCAACTGGCAGATTGCTGCAATCATCCTGCTGGTACCTGAGAACACTTGCTTCTTTTTAAGGATTTTTCTTCAAAAAATTTTGTTTTGCTTTAAACAGTACATTTGTTTATTTCCACATGGAACAGAAATCATGGTGAAGCTCCAATCATGTTAATGTTTTCAATTATAACAAAATACCAGACAGCCTGACCTAAACTAACATAAATAATTTCCTATTAGTGTCTTTTACTCTGTTAACGTTTATCTGATGCATATTAGCCATAATAAACTTATTTATCCTCCACCATTTTATCTCAGTTGTAAAGAAGTCACAAAACTACGGTGAAGCTTTCACTGGTGAAGGTTATACTTTTTCATATCAAGGAATACACTGCATGACATATTGCTCTAAGGGAGTCATTCCCAAAGTATGATCTCTAGACTTCTGTAAAGCCTGTTCTTCAGGCTGTATTTCGGTGCAATTTATTCTGGGATGGATCTGAGGATGTTCTCAATATGCAAATGATCTGTCATGGTGTGCGCTTCACCGCTGGGGTGGAGAACACCAGGCAGTGTAGGAAGGGTGAGTGTGGTGTGCCTGTGCCTCTGCTGTTGCCCAATTAGTTTCTGAGCATTCTGCACCATTTTCCACAGCTCTTTCATTCAAAAATGCTTAGCCTAATCATTAGCTAGCTTTCTTAGCTGATGAAATCATTAGCTAACAAAAACCATGTTAGAAAAATTACTTAAGTGAAATTAGAAAAGTGACCATTAGCCTAGTAGGTATGCCCAGCAAAATTGCCAAAGTTTTTTCTCTCCTTAATGGTACACAGGCTGAAAAACATTAAATTTTTGTCTTTAAAACTGTACACTTTGTTATTTTTTATCCTAATTTCTTTTGTACTGCTACAGAGAGTAATAAGTCTGTGAATCTTATCCTGGTTTTGCTCTGCCAGTTTTTCATCTAATTACTTCTAATTACTATCAGTGGTCAGTCATGCTCTTCTGAGAAACCAGTTGCAAAACATCTTATGTTCTTGTTGCATTCTGGCAAATAATTCACAAGTTAACTACTTTAGTGGCTCTTTGGTCTCTTCTTCTCTTTTAAATTGTGCATACCTGAAACATCTGTCAATTTTAGAAGATCTAGGTGCTATATAAAACTGATATCAAGGATGAAATGCCTAAATTACATTTTCTAACTTTACTGCACTAAATCAATCTTGCAACTTGTAGTATGAAGAAAAAAATTATTACAGTTTTTGTGCTACTTTGTTCTGCTTATAAACTGTGTATAGGAAGTGAATACATTGTCAGAGTACTGGGTTCCCCCAAAATTTTGAGTGAGCATAAACATTTCAGAGAGAACTGGTGCTTGGTTTTGATTGTCTGTGCTCTGTGTCAGCAGGGCTGGGCACAATTACCTCCAGCATGTGCTACACAAAGGCAGATTACTTCATGTAGAGAAGTTTGTTGCTATCATTTCTTGTCACTGCATTTGTCCTGGTGAAAGCTGGTGTGCCAGCAGTAGGCATAAGTAAGGTGATAAAGGTGACTTTTTACTCCTTGGTGTGTTACTTTGCTTGGGGTTTATGTAATATGAGTTGGATTTTCTTCTTTGACCTAGGGCAAGCAGCTTTGCTGAAGGTCTAACTAGAAATTTAGAAATTTAGAAAAACTTTCTTTTTCTTTTTTTTTTCTTTTTCTTTTTTCAAAACTGCAGAGTTAGTTTCTTGACAAACAGGTGTAGCAAGTGCATTGCATACTGGCAGGTACCAGGGTTTTCCTCATGCAATCATAACACATCCATCCATCAGACAAGCCTTGTATTTACCTGTGTTTTCCCTGTTAGGGCTTGTACCATTGAGAGTGGATGGGAAAAGATATCACTGCTACTTTAATGTTTAGTGCCATCTTTATCTAGGGCTTTGAGTTTTGCTGCCACAAATTGTTGTGACAAATTGTTGTTATCAAAATATGTTGTCACAGATAAATTATCTATGGTTTAGAACTTTATTTTCTTTTGATAATCAATTATTTCAACCATTTGTCATTTCATTCTACTAAATCATTTATCTATTTGTCTCCTCTTCTTGCATGCTTTTGGCAGCCAAAATCTTTGGCTAGTTCTTTCCTGTCACCTTGAGTCAAACATAAATATATGTTTTTTTGAACATAGTTGGGACTCTGATGATTACCAAACTTGATATTTCAGAATGTTGCCATTATATACTCTCTGCCTGGATATTGTCACTGCTGGATATGGTTTTACTGACTAAACATGGTTAACTTCCTCTGAGTCATACAACCTGTATTTATGTCCATTAGTGACACCTGCTTCAAGCCTATGATTAATTTCATCCTAAAAACAGCATTTTGCTATTAAAAGTATCTTTTCTTTTTGTGGATAATGATGAGAGACTGGGGGGATGGCTTGACTGTCCACACTCCAGTAAGGTTAAAGCAGAAGTAACACCTCACACCTTCTGTCCAAAAGCGAGCAGCTTCTTTGGTGCCTCACAACATCTCTTTCCTGTTCTCTCCTCTGTTGCTACATGCTATTGAGGTATTCCATAAAGCTGCACAAACCTGCTTGGTAAGCCACACAAAACCTATTTGTACCCTGTTGTTCAAGTTTAAAGTGAGTTTCTTTGATTTACTCCTAAAGTGAATTAAATTAAATTGAGTTGAAGTTGTTTGTAATTCTGCCTGGGTCTGCAGGTGGAACTACAGCAGTGTTGTGCCTAATCCACCTGGAATTTGCACTTTCCCTACATCTGTTGTCCTGTTTGGCCCGCAGTGATTTGGGAGTGCTCAGAGTTTTAACAAGTCTCACCTTGAGCAGATTAAATGGTTGAACTGAATATCAGTATATTGTAGTTCAACCTATAATGATTAATAACTCATTTTATTCCCTCTGATACAGATCTGGTACTACACAAACAACATCTTTAGTGAATCTGGGATCAATCACGAGACAATCCCTTATGTGACACTAAGTACTGGTGCTGTTGAGACTCTGGCTGCTGTATTTTCTGTAAGTATGGTTATAAAAATCCATTAGCATGCTTGATGTTTATATATTATTAGATTTCATTTTCTTATACAGCTTAAAATATAGAAAGAATAGTATGTTCATTAAGTGTAATGGTTGATAATTCAATTCAAAATATTATTTCTAATTTTAATCCTAAAATAAACTTTTTTTCTTGGAATATTTTTTTAAGGTGCTCTTTAATTTTAGATCCATAAAAGGAACAGAAAAAGTTAGTATGTCCTGCAGAGCTTTGTATGCCTGAAGAGAAAGAGGGCAGAAAGAGCAAGGGCCGAAGTATACTAAGTGGTAACTCATAAATTATTTCACCAGGTTGAACCACCTTACCTGGTAGCAGTTTATTCACATCTCAGTCTTCCCGTGTGCCTGCTGGGCAGCAGCAGTGCAGCTGGGAGAAGGCTCAGGCACAGCTCAGCTACAGGAGCTGTGTGCCTGGCAGAAACAGCCACCCAGGCAGGTGGAACAGCAAAGGCAGCCTGCCAGAACAAGGGTCCCCCACGTGGTGTTCAATTCTGCTGCCTTACTCAGGACAAACAGGCATCCTTTCCTAATACATCAGCTCCAGAGCAGGTCCTTTGCTCTGAATGTAGAGGAAGATGTTAGTAGAAAAACTCATCCATGCACATTTTTCTCTTTCCTAATTCAAAATGGAAAACTTGACTAGGGAAAAAAATACACAAAATGAGCAAACTAAAATTCTGAGTTTTTGTAGGTGATAACACAATTAATTGCTAAAGGAAATACATTTATGATTGAACTGCAATACATAAGAAGCAATGAGACAAGTCTTTGGAATGGAAAGCTGCAAACAAGCAAGTAGTCTTTCTTTGTTTGAATTTTTTCTTCATATATTTTATACCAACACCATTAGAACAATACTGAGCACAGCAGCAAGCATTTTTAAATGTCACAAGAATGCTTTTGACAAAAGAGTCCTTTTCAGTGGCAGAGTAACTGATTGTGACCTACAAAATATTAAACTAAATCCAGCTATCAGGTATGTTTTTTTAGCCTAGGACATAAGGACTCTATAGGGTCACAAATTTCTTCTGTTGCTTGTGAATTTCCACAAATCTGGTTTGGGTTAAATTAATTTTTTTAAAAAATTAAACAGACTGGTTTTATGATTCATTTTAATAGATAGAAATAAAGAAATATGAAAGTGTCTACCTCTTATAATTTCTTTTTTTCTGATACTGCACACATGCTTCTTAGATTAAGATATATGGAAAAATAATAATGATACTTCTGCCACTGATTTAAGTAAAGAATACCCTCTTTTATGTAAAAACAGACGATAATTACATGGAGATGATTCCATGATATTAAAGCCATTCTATAAATAGGGTCTGTTATCTTTTCAATTCTTTCTGTGCTGTCAGTTTGTGGGGCTTATTCAGAGCACACTCCTCATACATAATGAGGTGGATGGGTGAGATTTGGCTCCTGGTATGTGCAGTAACTTTTTGTACTAAAGAGGAGATTTTTTTAATATTTCTTCTGTTAATGCTACCTGCTGTGCCTCTGGAAATGCTGATGTACCAGTATCTCAGTTCTCTTCCAGTTTCTCTGTTCAAGACACACTGCTTTTAGTCTTAATTTTGTTTCCTAAATCTTCATAAATGTTTCATTGTTGTGGTTTAAAGGAACAACAACATGAATTTAGTTTTTCAGTTAAAGTTTTTGCAGCTTATTTATTCGAGTAATTTCCCATCAAGTTTTCATGCCTAGCACTAAGGACAGGAGATTCCTTCCACTCCCAACCTCTCCCAGTGTCTCCTTTTGATATCTTTAAAAAAATCTTCCACAGCCTTAAATGTTAAGCCAGGTGCATGTCTTTTGTACTACTCAGGAAAAAACAGAAGAAAACAAGAAGAGAACTTAATTTTCCTGGTATTTTTTAATATGTTGTGTTTGCTAGCAGAAATCAGATTTTACTCACAATAAACTCCAGGATTTCAATAGAGGTAGTCAGTTATACAGGTATAGTTTCTGTCCTCTTAAATAAAATGGCAATTGGAAATGTCCACTAGAAATCATGTACTATCTGATAATTATGAATAAATTAGGTTTCATGTGACTGAGCCTCAGGAGTATTGATGACCTCTGTTGATGAGACCCTCATGAATGCCAAAGAAAAACAGTAAAACAGAGATGTTTCATGGAGAAGCAAAGTAATATTTAGGAGATAAAATACTGAAACTGTGAAAATTTTTGAAAGTCTCCCTTTAATGCATCTCTTGGGAGCAGCAGCACAATAGTAATAATGTTGATGTGGTCCATGAGGAAATACAATTAATATTCCATCATTTTCATTGCTCTGCATTGCCTCACATCACTTGTAGCATGCTTTGCCTACAGCTCCATAGATCTTCCTCTCCAGCAAAAGCCATATCAACAAGACATTGAAAGATGAAACACGCATCATAATTTTCCTTTCATTCTCATAATTTGGCTGCAACTTCCTCTTACACCAGCACTTCCTAATTTACTCCATGAAATACGTGTGTTGTAGCGTTGCAATAGACAATTACTTTTTAATGGGGTTCCCATTAATTACAGTTTCTTTCTGAAGTTTTGTATCTTTTGGAATGAAATGCTGAATAGATTTACTACTCATAGACATGTTGCAGAAGTAAGTTACCTAACCTGATGCAATTCTTTGAAGCTGGATAGAATATACCTAAATAATTCCTGTGTTTATTAGAAATCTGTTCTATAACTTCTAGGTAAGGGCATACCACAAACTTAGCTATTCTTCAGTAAGATCGATTACTGCTGCTATTTTCAAATTTTCAGTCATTCATGTTAATTTTAGTTGTTGTCTTACTCTTTGTGGGCAAAGAGAATGATTTTCCAGTGCCTTTCTTTAGCACAGCAGCAGGGTGCAGAGAAAAGGAGACAGAAGTAAATGTCTGAAAAGATTCCTTCCCTCCTCCATGAAGCCAGCATAGAATAAAAGGGAATGTTATTCAAATTAAGCATCCCACATCCAGTTTTGCCATCTGTGGCACTACATTTGGTTTTCTTAAAATGTTCACAGAAAGTCTAGATGTGGCTATATTGAAAAGACTGTGCCCTAAGTATTTCCCATAGGATGATGCATGAAGGTGTTACTAAAAGCCTGTGACAGAGACAAGCTGTGTGAAGCCTGGAATGAGTTAAAATACATTGCAGTACTAGACCATAAAAGAATGTAGGAAATCCTTTGCAGTAACACACAGAAGTCAGGGGAGCCAGCCTTCTTTAGTGAGATGATTTTAATCTGCTTTAGGATGTCATAAGAAAGAGTTCTTAAGACTCATTCTTTGTTCCTTTTACTGTCCATAAATATCAATACAAAAGGAAATATTCCCTGCTCAGGGCACGGCACATCTTAAATAAAGGGTATTCTAAACATTTCCATATGTGTTCTTGTCTCCAACACATTTTCTTCATGGTTTCTACAGGAAGATGCAAGATGTCTTCGCTGAAACTCTGGGTCCACTATGGTCAGAAGAGAAAGAAATATGTTCCAGTAACAGCCAGTCTTATCAAGTGAAAAAAATGGGGTGACAAATACTAGAATCTCAAGGGTTCCTACAAAATTATGTTAGAATCTGATTTTTAGTAAAAGTTTTAATGCAGTCCTATGTGACATTGTTCACACCAAGTCAGAATAAGCATTCACATACCCATAATTCCCAGTAGGATGTAAGCAGAGAGGGCAAGAATGGGGCAAACATGGCATTTCCCCTTCTTTCTCCCCTCACCCTGACAAGCTCCTTGTTGCTCAAGGATTATCAGAATTTGAAGGTAGTGTCTTGGTCAGTAGCAGGCCGGAGAGAAAGCAGCAGAAAAGAAATTGGGCAAGCAGCATCTCAGATCGTGGGATTTGTCAAAGGCCAGAGGCATTTGGGTGTATTTTCTCTGCAGGGTGGACTGCAGAGAGAGTGTGTTAATGCACGCTGCCTTAGCCCACAAATGATCTACAGGTTTGCTTTTAGGTAAAGACATTATTCCTTTTTAATTGTTTTAATACACATTGACTTTTGAATAGATGAGGACAGCACGTGTTGAAGTGACCATGTGGTGCCTTCCAGAAGAAAAAGTCTCATCATGAAGTTCTGCCTTACAACACCTCTCCTAAGACCCAGGGTGTACATGGTTAAAGGCTGCATTTGTGTAGTACAAATTCTTTTGTAGGATATATTCAGAAATTGAAAGTTTTAAAGATGTATCTCCTGCTGCTGAGGATTAAAAGCATTGGGTTTGAGTCAATCTTTTATCAATCTATTCAGGACGATCTGTATTGGGCCATTCAAATGCCATCATTAGAAAATAAAATATCAACCACAAAGTTGTCACAGATCAAGACTGAGATCTAGTCTGGCTTTTATAGCACAAATGTGATAGCTTAATGCTTTTAACAACTAAATCATCACTAGAAGGAGCTTTGCCTCAGAAATATCTACAGTTTACTGAAGGGACAGAATAGGAATAAGGAAATGAATGTTCTTGTGCTGCCCTAAGGGCTGTTGCCAAGCACTGCTGAGGCAAGAGTGGCTGGCTATGTCCTTGCATGGGCTAAGTCTTGGCTATGCTGGTCTTGGCAGGTGTCAAATATGGAGAGCACCTTTAGTGAATAGAAAATTTCACTGCTAGGTGAAGCTGATTAAGAGTGCCTTACTGCAAAATACTTCAGACTGAGCTTAGAAATGTAGCAGTAAATTCCATGCTTTACTGAGAGTAATCTTTAGGCAGGTACCTGCAGAAGTTGTATATGATCTTATCCTGCCATGGCTTTAGTACAGATACAGGCAAATTGATGTGAGAGCCTTGCAGACAGAGATTAATTTAAGGCTTGTGCTTTTGTGGTCAAAGTTGATGCTAGGCCTCTAAATTCCAATTTAGGTACTTAAATACAATAGCCCCATTTTTTGTTTTAAAATGAATAATTAATACATTAGACTAATGGATATACATCAAAATATGAATCAAAACCCCCAATTTATAATTCTTATTGTACTGTTCCTCACCTTTGCCAGATACTACAGATTGTTTCATAACAATATATAAATGATATAAATTAGGTTATCCATTTTAATCCTGATATTTAAAATGGAAATAAAAAAGTGTTAGCTTGCCATGTAAAGTCTGAATCTAGTCACAGAGTCTTACTCAGACCTTTATCCAAAATACATGAGAAAGAAAGTGTGGGTATTCTTGACATTAACTTATAGAGCAAACTTCTTCACAGGGCTGAGACATCGAGGAAACCTGATAGGGTTTGCTTAGTATAATTTAGGGCCAGGATATAAGTAGGGAATAGTATGCAGTGACATCCTGTTTGGACTGCAGGACTTGCTTGCACATTCATTTTATCCATGGAAGCTTGTCTGATCTATTTCAATGCACTCTGCTTTCATTATGTCAGCCCTGGTATCTGCAGCTGACTCAAGTGAAAATGTTAACATTTGCTTCTTTAACTTTATTCACAAGTGTTTCCTGACAGACAGAAGTAAGTTGTGTGAACTGTTAATGTAGTTTGTATATCAGTTGCCTTTTTATCACAAAACGTTTGTGTTGAGAGAATTTTGGTTGCAATATTTTTTACACATTTTCAGTAATTTCAGCTGTGTTAACCATCATGACTGGGTATAGGTTTCTACAAATGCATGTTTATGATCACACAGAAACAAGTATCAGCCTACACAGCCTGGCACATGACTCAGGTGTTATCACAAAAAATAATTGTTCTTCTGTTGTCTGTACTTGAGCATGTACTGGATTTCTTGTTATTTCATTTATTCTACTGTACAGTATATTTTGACCTGCTATGGATCTGCAATAGGTAACAGTTACCAGTGTGTAGCAGTGCAGCATTCAGAACTATAAATACTTGGAAACTGGTGAATCATCTTCCCCTTCTTATGAGTCATAAGCATCTCAGTGGGTTTTGCAAGTGAACAAGTTATGAATTTGTACAATCATAACTAAAAATTTAAGTTGTTGTCTGTTTACAACTTCAAAACAAGCATTGATTTCACCAGGGAAACCTGCTGTTATGGAAGACCGAATCCAAACTCTCCTTCCTTACTGGAATTTGTTTTGCTCTTAGTTTCACAAGTGAAAACTATATATCACATTTTTTCCCATGTTTTGTATGGGAGGCATATGTGAACTTTTTCCCTCTAAGAGAAGCATCACCCCTGCCTAACCTTGTTTTAATACAAAGGCCCCCAGCTGTGTAACACCAAGATTGCTTGATCATGACCATCAATCCAGCACTGAAAAAATAAGATAAATTGCACAGTATGTCAAATTACATGTGCAGCATTTATTGCTGAACATATAATCCACTCCAAATTACATGTGAAACATCTGTTGCAGAACTCTCTTGCAGAAGTTGCAGAAGATTGGTCTTACAGACCTATCAAATAATTTTTTAGCCCTCAAAGCCATTGAAGCTGTCTCTTGGTCCAGTGTCTATGTGGTCATATGTGTTTGCAAGATGGACTCATTTATCACAATGGAAAATAGCTGCCATCTTGTAGAGGTTTTGACAGTGAAACAGCTGCAGTTATGGAACATTTGGACCTCATAAGATCTTCCTAATATCAGTGCAAGTCTTTTTAAAATTCCATAATTCTATTATAGAAGGTATGGAAATTGTCCAAATTAGTGTATTTCACCGTTTAAAGAAATAAAGAATGCAAAATCTTACCACAGCACTTCTTTCAGTGATCTGCAGCATCACAGAGCATATCTCTGGTGGCAAAGTTCAGCTCAGGGTGCAACAACAACATGTGTTTAGGGCAGACAAGCCTGTCCTAAAATCTACTGGTGAACCCCAGACTGAGGGAGAAGCATTTGCCTCTCAAGGCATTTCATCCGTGGGTGTCTCTGTACTTTGATTTAACACATTTCATCTAGATGCTCACAGTGGAGTGATGTGTGTTGTTTCCCAGAATTAAGGGTATTAGTCCAGATTTCATTTTAGTCGCCCATTTTATTTTTTCCTCAAAGGATGTACAGAAGTCTCCACTAAATAATGATATGGCAAACAGTTGTGTGATTCTGATTTTAACTTATTTCAAGTGATACATTTTAATCTCCATAAAATTATTCTGTTTTTCTCATAAGAAAGCCAAGCGTAATTAGTAATTTTATTAGTTACCAATATGAAAAGTACATCAGCTGTTATGACAAAATACATATTAGCCTATTTTAATGAGTCAGACCAGCAGAGTTTCGAGTTACAGCTTTTTAAGAAATTCTTCATTGTGTTTTTCTCTAGCAGATAAGTATTCAGATTTTGTGATTTATATTCAGATGTTAAATATAAATTCAAAATGGGTGTAACTGCACAAGTATCAGTGTTAAAATCACTTGTCTGAGCGAAGTTTTCTGCTGCATGGATTTCTTTTGTTTGGATATTCTAATTACAGTAATTATCAAAAAAAAAAAGACTAAATACTTAGTCTATATTTGAGAAAAAAAAAGTTAAAATAGATTTTGGTTTAATTAAGATACATTTTATGCTAAAAATATTTAAATCTCAAATTTTAAGTATTTTAAGCTTAAATTCAGAGAGATGTTGAAATTAAGAAACAGTCAATATGCAAAAGCAAGAGACTAATTCACTTCAACATACTGACAATTAAAAATCGCATATTGTAAGAACATTGCCATAGAAATTTAATGCATATTTATAAGCCATTCAAACAATGAACAATTTTTTCAGTGGCCTCAGATAACCATACCAGGCTGACTTGTTTTTTCAAACATTTTAAATTTTGTAAACATAATTGTGAGCACAGTTATGAACGTTGTAGCTTATGAATAGTGTACAATCAACCCTCATGGTTGTAGTTTTGATCTTCCTATTTACTAGGAGAACATATTTCATGGTCCAAGTTATTCAGTGTTTTCTCAGGAAAGTCAAATGCCACTTTTTGTTTTCCAGGGTTTAGTTATTGAGCGGCTTGGACGCAGGCCTCTCCTCATTGGAGGTTTTGGGTTGATGATCGTCTTCTTTGCCGTACTCACTGTCTCCCTGACTCTGCAGGTAACGCTAGGGCCACTGCATATTTTTACTTTCTTTTACCTATTTCAAACATGCTTGATATTGGTTTGTTTCTACATTCCTGCATAAGCCAATCCTCTTAATCAGTTTGGCATAAGGAATGAAAGGTCTCTTTTACTAATTTATGAATCTGTTTGCTTAAAAACTTTAGCATTAAAAAGCAACAGAATCTTTCTCACATTCTCACATTCAGACTCTTTAATTCAAAGATTTATGCATATCATGAACTATTATGAAGACAATTTTACCAACAGTTGAATAAACAGTATACCCATATTCTGTGGGTGTATCTTTGTTTGTAATTCACTGCCTCTGAGATTTCTCTCATGTTTTATATGTCATTCCTATTTTAGGTTTGGAATTTTTTGTTAGTGAAAAATTTCCACGTTTGATTTTTCCTTCAAGTAACTTTTCTGGTATTTCTATAAGCAATATAAAGACTTATCCTTTGGAGAATATTTGGCCTTAGAAAAAAGATGGGAATAGACATTTTAGTAGGGCCTGCTGTGATAGGTCAAGGGGTAATAATTTAGAAATAAAGCAGGGTAAATTTAAGTTAGATATACGGAGGAAGTCTTTTGCAATGAGGGAGGTGAAGTGTTGGAACAGGTTGTCCAGAGATATGGTTGATGCCCCATCTCTGGAAACATCCAAGGCTAGGTGGGACAGGGCCCTGAACAAACTGATTTAGTTGAAGATGTCTCTGCTCATTGCAGGTGGATTGGAACTAGATGAGCTTTAAAGGTCTCTTTCAATCAATGTTTCTATAATTCTAAGTTATCAGATGCTATTAGCACTCAATTCCCCAGGTGTTTCAAATTAACAGAGAATTTATTAAACCAGTTTTAACTCTGGCCCTGAGTAATTTTCCTTGTTTGGCTTCATCTATATAATAATGTGGTTTGTTTATGCTCCTAAGGACTTTAGAGAACCAAAACTGATTTTTGCAATGGCATGGGTTTGAGTGGTGTTTCATCAAGGCATTTTCCTGCTGGTTTTGATTCATGAGTGGTGTCATTAATCTGACTTCCAGGTCTTGTTTCTTCTTTGAAGGGAGTCAGTAAGTCAGGCTGACTGGTAGGTCTGTGCCATGCCACTGCTGTTTTATTTGATTTACCTGTGTGTACATCACAATAAATCTTTAGTTCACACACCTGCCAGGGCAGCTGTAAGACAGCTCTCCTCCTGAAGAGAGAAGTTATTACATATTTTGTATGCCAAGTGAAAAATTCCCTTCTGGATCTTTTAAAGCCAGGTTGGGTGTGTGAAGACCTTCAGCTGGTTTAAATCCCTGAAGTCTGAATGCCTTTCAGTTTCACCTCCTTTCAAAAGGGTCTCAATGTATTAAGTATTAGAGATTTGCTTTGAACAAAGGATCATGGTACAAATAGGCTTAATCTCAGCGGAAATTTATATCTACTCCATATTTACACCTTCTCGTTCTCAGAGACCTTGGATTTGCTTCCAGACAAGAACCCTAGATTGTGGAATTTTGATAGATCCACAACCCTTTTGGTTAATGTTAATGTCCAGGAAACCATGGTTTCCATATAACTAAGGAAATAACTCACACTAGAAGAGAAAAAGTATCAGAATATGGGGGCCTTTCCTTAACACTGAAAAAAAATTGATCTACTTTCAATTAGAAGAACTACTTTCTTTAGCAAGAATATTTTTACAATCCCACTCAAGGTGCTGATAGTACACTTACATGTATATTAACAAAATTCAAAAATAGCAAAATTCAAATAAAAATATTATTCACACTTTATTATGGTAAAACTCCACCTGTGGGACAGAGAAAGCAACGGGCATCCATGGATTTTTCTCATCTATTAGTATTAGAATCCAGCATTCACAAAGATGATTAACAAACAGAGACCTGCAAACTCCACAGGAATTGCCCTCGTATTTCAAATTCCTGACATTTAGAGGTCTCACTAGATAAAAATCTGCTTAGAAGTAGAGGAAAGGTAATATATATGACCTTCCTTGTCTGCAAAATCAGATTACAGCTGAAAAGTCCTAGACTGTGGCTTTCTCATGTTTTGCCAAGGTTCAGATACCTGGTTCTTCTACCAAATGTCAGCCTGCTGTGCATTTAGCCAAGCCTTTGACTGGTGAATGTTGAACCTCCAGAGCCATTCTAGATGCTCTTTTTAAACATGACTGAAATACCTGAGGTGGAGGGAGGTGCTGGATGTGTTCAGTCTTCCAGGCTGGCTTGAACTTTAGCACAAGCTGTGATTTTTTAGAGTTCTGATTCTGTGGTACATAGCTTGTCTAGTGTTTCTCTACAGGGATTTCACAGAGACCAAGGCCTTTAAATACATATCATTGAATAAGGTTCTACAGAAATGCTGTGATTTTCTAAAGTAACCCCAGACTATATTCTGAAATATATCAAGAATCATGGAAAACACTATTTGTGAGGTTTTAAAAATATTTCTGACGTGTACAATATGTTTGAAATCAATGTCTTTTATCTACCCAGAGCTCTGTGCATTGGCTTCCTTACCTCAGTATATTTTGTATCCTTGCAATCATTGCATCATTCTGCATTGGACCAGGTATGTCCATGTCTATTTTTTCATGTTTCTTTGTACATCTAAGGACGGGTATTTTTTGCACTGGCATTATGTTAGCAAATCACTTGTACAGAACTTCACTTTGGCAGCAAGCCAGAAAGTAAGACTTTTGTTCCCTTGAGCTTTTGGAGCTTTTTTTTTAATGCACTATTTATTGCCTCTTTTTCTTTGTAAGGAAATTGACATTAAACATTAATCAGCTGTTTATACATCTTCACCACTGAAGTGGTCTAATTGATTGATTGTGGTTTATTTGGGGAAGAGTTGCTGATGTTTGATGTGACTCTAATGAAATGCTGCTGTAATTCTGTGGATCCTCTTTTGAAAAGCTGAGAAAAAAATACGCTGCTTTAGAGAAAAATGGGGAGAAGACCAAGGTATTTCTTTTACCCTTGTTTCTGGGAAAAGGGTTTGTCACTAATTTCTGTCCAAAACACTGTGAAAATACTGAAAAAAAATAGCAGTGCCTTTGTCCTTCTGTAAGGACAAATCTCAGTTCAGCTAAGTCCACTGTACTGCTGACATATGTTTCTTAGACTGAGACAGGGGAGTGGGTGTTAAACAATTCTGTGGAATACAACTTTCCTTGAATTTTAAATACCATAAGAATGTCAAATGTTGACTTGAAACTTCTTTAAAACTTCCTTTCTGGTGTTTTATGTGGCTCAGAGGTTTAAGTGCAGCTGCATGCTGTCTATGCATGCTATGCATGCTATGGGTTTTTTTTAAATCTCTGTTGAAACAAACTGATTACAGATATGTTCCACCAATTTTTAGAACTTGAAGATCAATATGTTCTTACATGATATATTTCCAGCATATGAAGATTAACCCTCTGCTTTTCTTCTTCACCTCACCAGTCTTCAAAACGGATTCTAGTGTTCTTCATTTGGATTCTTTCTCTTTACTGATGTTATTCAGGATTTGTGTTGTACTTCACAATCTCTTTGAAACAAAGTGTCTGCAGATACATCCAGGACAAGCAGCTAGTGTTAGAAATTACTTGCTCTTTTTTCTACAGAAATTCATTAAAATTAAAGCTTTGGTTGTGTTTTATACTGTGCTCAGTGTTGTTAAAGCCAAAGAACATTAATAGTGTACCAGTAGATACCTAGCTGGCCTTTCCACTTTTCCTCTGTGTGTTCAGACATTTCTCATATCTGACAATAGTGGGAGTATGCAGGTAGCACTTAACATTGAATTGCTTTTAATGAAAATCTCAGTATCTGACTCTTCAGCTGTTGAGAAGAATCATATTCTGATATCTCTGCAAATGAATAGTAATATTTTAGCTGACTTTGATGGGGGCTGACTTAGCTTCAATGAAACTTCTCTGTTCTCTTCAGAGGTGCTTAGGAAATCTGAACTACTTTTCTACCTTTTAGCTGGACACCTTCCATTATTAGCAAAGTTTTATGATGATTGAATAAGAAGAGAGCATATATATTTTTTTTCTGAGCAAAGAAACTATTACCAAGAAGTCCATTGTATCCATTTCTTTTTATATCACAAGGCATAACTCAATAATTGAGTGCAATTACTTTGTTAAGTTTTGTCCCCCTTTCCTTGTCCAGGAAAGAAAGACAACAACAGCCTGTGACAAGTCCATTGGAGAGTCACCATGTCAGTGTCAGGAGACCTGTGAGAAGGGACTGGGTGAACTGGACTTGTCCAGCCTGAGAAGAGACAGCTTTGGGGGCCTAAGAGCTGTGCCACTGCCTGTGAGAAGGGTGTTGCAGAGCCAGTCTCCTGCTGCTGCATGATGAGGTGCTTGAGAGGCAGAATGCAGGTGTTAAAACAAGAAAGATGCAGAGAGACTGTAAGGAAAAGCTTTTTGCTTCCAGGCAGTCAAGCAGGCTACCAAGAGTACTGAGTCCCTAATTACTACACAATGATAAAAACTGAATAGATTGTACTGCTGTTTTTTGCAGTGATTGTAGGGAAGTGTCCAGAGCAAAATACAAACAGGGAAAGTAGGTGATACATTTTTAGAGCACCAGTGCAATTTTTTTACAACTTAGGGTCTTTCTGCGGCATAGCTTCTAACACTTTCATAGTCTCCCATGGATTTGTTAAACCTCTGTCTGAAACACCAGAATTTTAGTATTCTTTGGCAAAGAAAACTACATCTCTACTATCTTTAATGCACACATCCTTCGTTAGTCCTTGTGTGGTACCCTCTAGGCCTTGCAGAAACAGAGCAATTGATCCTCTTCCTCCTTTTCAATTTCCTTGTGATCTTGTCAACTTTTACCTTATCAACACAGATTTTTATGGAATTAAAAGATATTTCTTATTGCCAACTTTTCAGTGATGTTTTATGACACCCCTTTAACAGGAAAATTTCACACTTTGGTGTTCTTTTCTAGCACTCTGGTGGTTTAATGGGACAAGATAGAAGTTCAAGAATAACTTTCCCACCTTGCTGGTAGTAAAAATGGTTTTCCCCAAGAAAATTAAGATATATTCTTTATATTTTTTATACTTTTAGCCTTTTGTAGAAGTTTTGCCATTCATTTGTATTGGTTAAACAGGGGCTATTGTCAAGTAATCCTCAGTATCTTAGTTCCTCCTGTAGTTATACTACAAAAACAATTTGTAATGATTCCATTGGTACAAAACTTAAGCTAGGAAAAATTAATTTATGTTCACTGAGCAATTGGTACTTGTTAAAGATAACAAATTACATGAAGAATTGAATTTATAAAAATACTGCTTTAACTCTCTAGAGCATGAAATTTGCTTCAAAAGTACAGTATTTTCTCTCTTGTTAGAACATCTAATATGTTCTTCATAGCTTAGATGTTGTGTAACCATTTTCTGACAGCATATACATGGGTCCCATCTGCTCCTTTTCACTGAGGATCAGCTGTTACTATAAACTGTGGAGGGTGTTTATTTGTTTCATTTTTCTGAACTCGGCTTTTCAGCTTGCAGATATCTTTGAGGACTGAGACAGTAATGCTAGCAACAGGTATGCTCAGGCATGTGTGTGTTTGGTGCATCATCATTTTTGTCAAAAGCCAAACAGCAGAAAGCTTTCACTTTCTAAAAATTAAAGGGCCCCTTATGCTTTATACAGTCAATCTGTGATCTGAAAGAAAATTATTTATTTTCTATAGACTAGGGAGCCCTGCTGGTCCAGACAGTTGTTTCATTGTGCCTATTTGTTAATAATATGCAAGTCAAGATATTTGCTGGACCTAAAATAAACATAGGATGCATTTCAAATGAAGAATTGTCATCCTGCAAACAGTAAACTGAAAAAAAAAAATGAGGGGATTGGTTCTGACTCCTAAGGAGACAAAAGGCAAAAAGCTGAAAAACAGCTGAGAAAACAAATCAAATAATCTCAAATTAAAGAATTTCAAGATCTGCAGAGAGCATTTGTGCTGTTCAGGTTATACATCATGAGAGAATGCATTGATTTAATGATTCAATGCCTTTCCAGAATGGGTAAATAATGTGCAGCTTCTTGGAAATTTGGATCATGATAGGCAGGTTTAGGTATATGTGAAATGTCTTCCTTATTTGACTTAATAGGTGATATCTAAGAAAAGAGGAAAACTAGGATTTATTCTCATTTTCTCAGTTAAACCTGTGTGGCTGCCTCTTCATGGACTGAACATTCATGTTCAACTGTGCCTGCAGAATCCATTTTTTTCAGGAAAGATGGTCTGAAATCTGACTTAAACAGAAAAAAGAGAAGCTTCTGCTTATTTTTAGCTATTTTCTTGAATTCCCCATTCACCTATTGTACCTTTACAACAGTTGCTGCACCAGCAAGTGATTTTTGAGTTTTCTGGGATAATTGAAAAATGTGCATTGTAGTTTTAAAAAACCTGCTGCAGATTTTCCCCTTTTACCCCCCAGCCAAAGATTTAAAAAAAAACCAACAACTAAGCACCCAGAAACCGACACAGAATGTGTTCCATCCATTTTCCTGATTTGTCTGCAGGGATGCTGAGCCCACTTGTCAGTGAGTCTGTCATGCATTTTCAGATGAGGGGCTTGCAGGTTTTGGTTTTGAAGTTTTTCCAACTCACATCCTCTGAACCAGAGAATGGCTTTTCTGCCATCTGTCAAGATGTGTCAGATAGTGGAACATGTGGAGAAAAAAAACTGATCAACTGATCAATTGGGGGTTACAGAAACATTGGCATGAACTTCTGGATAACCTTCCTAAATGTAACAAAAAGACAGTCAAGACCTTGAGAACTTGGAAATCTGGCATAAAGCATTTCCATGCATTATCTTTGTATGAAGTGATTTATTGGTATTTGTTCCTTAGAAGCATATTCTGTTTAAGTGTAACCCCTTTCTATCCAGCTTTGTTAAGTAGAGAAGGCACTGCTGCAGAGAAGGGACAGGAAACAGTGGTGGCCATGGTGAGGTATGATGCCTGTCTTTAACTCAATGGAAGGATGGGAGGAGGTGGCAGGAGGTGGACAGTTTTGATAAAATACCTTGCTTTGAAACAATCTTCTTTTACTACCTTCTTTCAGAAACTGAGTAAGTATTGTTGCTTTGAAATCTCTGCAAATTTTCTGGCTCTGGAAACATGGTGCACTGGGGCACTGGACTTCTTTTACCACTGGAAATAAGTAAAAATAACCCCAGACCCTAATTGTGGCAGTAAGATCTGTAAAAAGTGTTTGTGTAGCACAAGTGTGTTGCCCACCTTTTCACCACTGCATCTGGGAGGGAGATCAACCACAAATGGGCACAGGAAGGCATGTGGTAAAATTCCTTCTTCCTAAGAATTCCTTTGGAAAGAAAAAAAATCATGTTTTATTACAACAAACAGTAATACTCATGCAAGTTCCAAAAATCTGAGGAGTTGATTTTATATCCATTATCTGATCATAACTCAAGCCATCCTTGTACTGGAAATTTGTGTTATTTTGATGGCACTTGAAGCTTGAGATTACTGATTTTGTTGAAATCTTTTGCATTTTGCCCATTTCTAAGAATGGGACATA